CTGTTTCCTGAGGCTCTTACACAAATACATACAGACGTATATAGATATTCAGAGTTCTCCTTCCCCTCATGCTTTTAAATAAAAATGCACTCGGGCTATACACATTTCTCTGCCCCATTTTCCACCTAATATTCTCATAAACCACTTTCTATTTAGGTCAATGCATATAGATTTGACTCAATCTTTTTAATACCTACATAACATTGTATTGTATAAATTCGACCATATATTTTTTTAATCTTATCATTACACAATGTAAACATTTTTTATGGCCCTTTACCAATTTCTCCCTGACCTCCCTCCCCCTTCAACCATAATTAATTCGACAGTTCTCTATTGGTAAATATTAAGGAGATTTCCAGTTTTTGCTTTTTTAAAGAAAGCTTCTCTAAACATATGCACACACATATTCTTAGGCACCGGTCATTTTATTTCTATAGGCGTCCCAAAAGCAGGACTACCAAGTCAAAGGACAAAACTATTTTTTAATATCATAGCTATTTCCAGATTACTACGCACAACTGTGTGACAATTCATTGTCAGCAGCAGTGTACTCCAATGCCCATTTCCCAAACCTTTGCCAACAATGAATGTTGTCCACCTTTTTAAAATATCTGCCAATCTGACCAAACAATATTGTTTTAAATGTTCATATCATCTGACACAAAAATTCTACTTCTTGAAATTTAGTTCCAAAAGAAATAATCATAAATGCAAACAATAGTATGCTCACAGCATCCTGATTTATATCAGAAACTCACAAATACCAAATTTAAAATTTATGCAATTCCAATCAAATGCTAATAGGATTTTCTGTGGAACAAAATAGCAAGATAATCCTCAAATTCACACAGGAAAGTAAGAAGCCAAAGATAAATAACCACGATAATTCTGAATAAAAAGAAGTTATGGCGACTTACTCTTTACAGCAGCGAAATACAAGAAAGGGCAGAGGCCAGAAACAGACCCACAANCGACTTACTCTTTACAGCAGCGAAATACAAGAAAGGGCAGAGGCCAGAAACAGACCCACAATTACACAGAAGCCTGATTTTTAAATTCCTATAAACACCACATACACCACCACATACACGCATAAATCAGTGAGGAAAAGAATGACCCTACAATCAAGGTTATCTATATGAAAAAAATGAAATCCCTACCTACACTACACACTCAGGCACTTGCACATGTCCACGCAGGTAGATAAAAAGGCAGAGATACAAAGAGCCCTCACCAAAATGTTTACAGTTAAGAAAAAAATGGGAGTCGGTACCTTTGAATAAAATATGGAAAAATATTAAAATTTTTAATGCTGGGTGCTGCATCTTCTTAGCTCTTATGATTCTCTGTACTTTACACGTATGAAATATTCTATTTTAAAAATTTGATATTGGAGGACTGTTATGTAAATTATGACAGTCATATAATGCAGTAAGAACAAAAAAATTAAATTCACAAAAGCTTCGAAGATGTGATAAAAAGCTTATAAAATAATAAGTTGACATTAAGAAACATGCAGTCTGCAAATACACGCACACACTGTCACCTAAAAAAGGTTAAAGTTAAAAAAAAAAAAAGACTACAAAGAAATATATCACAATGTCCAATGGTTGGTTAATTTGGGGTGGAAGAATTGTAGTTAATTTTTTTAATAGGTTTGGTTTTTTTTAAGCCTAATGTCTGCATTGGAAATGGATTTAGAATATCCATGACAAAACATTAAGAGGCTCCCCTCTGATAAAATTTCAGATAATTTTTCTTTTTCTTACTTGTTGTTTCCTAATTGTTCTATAAAGATCAGAAATTACTTTGGCAATTTTCAAAGACAAGAACAAAAAAATAAGTAAAATTTAAAATTAAGACATTCAGACATGGCAGCTACCAAGATTACTTTAGAAATTCAATGGGCCGGCCCGGTGGTGCACTGCTACAGTGCGCCGCTTAGGAGCGCGGCGGCGCTCCCACCGAGGGTTCGGATCCCA